CTTGTTGTTGTGTTTGTGGTTGTGTGCTGGTTGAGGTCCGGTGGGGAACACTGCCACGCGGCCCTCGCAGTTGAGGTCCGCGGGGAACGCAACCCTCGCAGTTGGGTCCGGGGAACACTGCCATCCTACACTTGCAGTTGGGGTGAGGAGGAGGCGGGCGAGGTGGAGGCGGACGCGTTCGAAGGCAGCTGAGATAAAATTTGGCCCTCGCCTGACAGGGGGAGAAAAACCAAAAGAACCAAGCAAGCATGTATTCAGAAGCCGGTCGTTTGTGGGAGGCTTCAATCAAGCCTCTCACTAATATGTTTTTGTTTGGCTTTACATTCTCAAGCCTTTTTGGTTTTGCACCATGGCGGCCCCTTCTGGAGAGCGGGCCGCCGTGGGGGCTGAGTTTTGGTTTTCCATACAATACACTTAGGTTGGGTTTTCAAATGTCTGCTCGACCTCCATACCTGATATTGCAACCAATATGCGCTACATAAAGTTACTGACAGCACACATATCTGGGAAATCCAGTTTCCCAGAGATTCAGAGGAGAGCTTTTAAAGTGACAACTTTTATACCACGCGTTTCAGTATAGAAGTGGTCATTCCCAGTTTTAGGGGAAACATATTTGTTGGTACAGCTGCTTTAAAAGAAGGCATGATTATCCCCAGAGACATGTAGAGAACACTTACCTGCCTACTTAAAGCAGTGTCTTGATCTAGTTCCCAGCATCCCCAGGGCAAAAACCAATGCAAAACACATTGTTGTGGCATTTTGTGCTTAGACTCACACCCGCAGCATCACTCGCACCTTCTCTAGAATTAAGTTAGCCTTGACCTAGAATTGAATTTGAACCGTAAAAATTTACTAGAATTGTTTTAGAGTTGATTGGAATTAAATTTGCATTGATTTAGAAATAAACAATTTGATTAGAATTAACTTGGAATTCAATCACGAAAACTAACACCAGCTAGCTGGAGTTGTTCTTGCTTTAGCAAATGAGGGGCTGGAATCCTCGAGAGCGCCACATCGCGTGAAAACTTCATTTGTACGGCCCCCCCACGGGTTCAACTCCTCCGTAGGATGTCTTTGGGACGTGTGTATTTCAACTCTTCCCTGGGACGTCTCTAGGACGTTTGTTTTTCCGCTGGCAGACTGGGCCCGCATTGCCCTTTGCATCACCGCGGTCGTGAGGGTCAAACTGCAGCACACCCTCCATGCATATATGTTCTTGCCTTTCTCGGTCGGAGGCGGCGTCTTTCTTTGTTTTGATTCCCTGCTTCACCACGGCCCTGCTAGCTTTCGTCACCAACCTTCGGCCTCAAGTTAGAGTTGAATTGGGACTCAACTGGAATTAAATTGCAATTGAATTAGGTATATAAATTCGTCGTATAAATAACCCATCTGCCCGTTTCCCTCTCTCTCTCTCTCTCTCCCTCTATGCACACATACATATATAATCGCACTGTGCTTCTGGGGCGCTGTGCGTTGACTTGGACTGCCTCTTGTGGGCACTGCCCCTATAATAGTTAATATCTTGGAATGAAGATTGAGGTTGAGGTCTAAATTAAAACCGGCATGCCATAGATTTGCGCAGGAGCGCCAATCGCGCCGACAAAGCTTCCGCTTAGAAGCAGCAGTGGCCTTGGGTGTTGGAAAGCGTGCGCAGTGGGGATTTGGATGCAGTTAGTTCAACACGAGGCAAGGCATCAAAACAAGTGACTTGCACATTTCCAGGCTGCACTCTCTGCAGAAAGAACGGGATCGCTGATTGGATGAGAGGTTGTGATGGGACAGTTGGGACGGCCTTCCCACATCCTCACACCTCCTTTCCCTCGTTTCATCAAAGCATTTAGGGCCGGACATGCACAGGCGTACAAACATTGCCGCTCTTGCTCTGAGGCCCTCAATGTGAGTCTCTTGGCTCAACGGAGGTTGCTTAAGGGCGCTCAATTTATCATTGCATTGCGAGCTTATCGCGGCCCGCTATTTCTCGATCAGCCAGCCAGCCAGCCGGCCGGCCGGCCGGCCGGCCAAGAACCACGGTCCAGCTGGCCGGCCGGCCGGCCGGCCAAGATCCACGGTCCAGCCGGCCGGCCGGCCGGCCAAGATCCACGGTCCAGCCAGCCGGCCGGCCGGCCGGCCAAGATCCACAGCCCAGCCGGCCGGCCGGCCGGCTGATCAACGACCGTCGGCTACTACTACTACTACCACCACTACTACTACTACTAC